TCTTTCTTTCTTTATTCGCTTTCATCATCTATTCTTTCATCCTCTCTATTTCTTTCTTTCTTTCTTTATTCTCTTTCATCATCTATTTTTTCATCCTCTCTATTTCTTTCTTTCTTTATTCTCTTTCATTATCTATTCTTTCACCCTTTCTATTTCTTTCTTTATTTATTCGCTTTCATCATCTATTCTTTTCACCCTTTCTATTTCTTTTCTTTCTTTATTCGCTTTCATCATCTATTCTTTCATCCTCTCTTTTTCTTTCTTTTCTTTCTTTATTCTCTTTTCATCATCTATTCTTTCATCCTCTCTATTTCTTTCTTTCTTTATTCTCTTTCATTATCTATTTCTTTCACCCTCTTTCATTTCTTTTCTTTCTTTATTCTCTTTCATCATCTATTCTTTCACCCTTTCTATTTCTTTCTTTCTTTATTCTTTCATCATCTATTCTTTTCATCCTCTCTATTTCTTTTCCTTTCTTTTTTTCTTTCTTCTATTTTTCTCTTTCATCATTCTATTCTTTCACCCTTTCTATTTCTTTCTTTCATTATTCCTTTCATCATCTATTCTTTTCACCTCTCTATTTCTTTCTTTCTTTATTCTCTTTCATCATCTATTCTTTCACCCTTTCTATTTCTTTTCTATCTTTTATTCGCTTTCATCATCTATTCTTTCATCCTCTCTATTTCTTTTTCTTTCTTTCTTTATTCTCTTTCATCATCTATTCTTTCAGGTCCTTTCTATTTCTTTTTTCTTTCTTTATTCACTTTCATCATCTATTCTTTCACCCTTTCTATTTCTTTCTTTCTTTTGTTTTTTTCATTCCTTTCATCATCTATTCTTTTCACCCTCTCTATTTCTTTCTTTCTTTATTCTCTTTCATCATCTATTCTTTTCAACCCCTTTCTATTTCTTTCTTTCTTTATTCTCTTTCATCATCTATTCTTTCATCCTCTCTATTTCTTTCTTTCTTTCTTTATTCTCTTTCATCATCTATTCTTTCATCGTCTCTATTTCTTTCTTTCTTTATCCTCTTTCATTATCTATCCTTTCATCCTCTCTATTTCTTTCTTTCTTTATTCTCTTTCATCATCTATTCTTTCATCCTCTCTATTTCTTTCTTTCTTTATTCTCTTTCATCATCTATTCTTTCACTCTTTCTATTTCTTTCATTCTTTATTCTCTTTCATTATCTATTCTTTCACCCTTTCTATTTCTTTCTTTCTTTATTCTCTTTCATTATCTATTCTTTCACCCTTTCTATTTCTTTCTTTCTTTATTCTCTTTCATCATCTATTCTTTCACCCTTTCTATTTCTTTCTTTCTTTATTCTCTTTCATTATCTATTCTTTCACCCTTTCTATTTCTTTTTCCTTTCTTTTATTCTTTTCATCATCTTTATTCTTTCACCTTTTCTATTTCTTTCTTTCTTTATTCTCTTTCATCATCTATTCTTTTTCACCCTTTCTATTTCTTTCTTTCTTTATTCTCTTTCATCATCTATTTATTCATCCTCTCTATTTCTTTCTTTTCTTCTATTCTCTTTCATCATCTATTCTTTCATCCTCTCTATTTCTTTCATTCTTTTTCTTCTCTTTCATTATCTATTCTTTCACCCTTTCTATTTCTTTCTTTCTTTATTCTCTTTCATTATCTATTCTTTTTATTTCTTTCTTTCTTTATTCCTTTCTATTTCTTTCTTTCTTTATTCTCTTTCATCATTTTATTCTTCTTTCATCCTCTATTCTTTCTTTCTTTCTTTATTTCTTTTTCATCATCTATTCTTTCATCCTCTCTATTTCTTTCTTTCTTTCTTTATTCTCTTTCATCATCTATTCTTTCATCCTCTCTATTTCTTTCTTTCTTTATTCTCTTTCATCATCTATTCTTTCACCCTTTCTATTTCTTTCTTTCTTTATTCTCTTTCATCATCTATTTATTCATCCTCTCTATTTCTTTCTTTCTTTATTCTCTTTCATCATCTATTCTTTCATCCTCTCTATTTCTTTCTTTCTTTATTCTCTTTCATCATCTATTCTTTCACCCTTTCTATTTCTTTCTTTCTTTATTCTCTTTCATCATCTATTTATTCATCCTCTCTATTTCTTTCTTTCTTTTCATTCTCTTTCATCATCTATTCTTTCATCCTCTCTATTTCTTTCTTTCTTTATTCTCTTTCATCATCTATTCTTTCATCCTCTCTATTTCTTTCTTTCTTTATTCTCTTTCATCATCTATTCTTTCATCCTCTCTATTTCTTTCTTTCTTTATTCTCTTTCATCATCTATTCTTTCATCCTCTCTATTTCTTTCTTTCTTTATTCTCTTTCATCATCTATTCTTTCACCTTTTCTATTTCTTTCTTTCTTTATTCTCTTTCATCATCTATTCTTTCACCCTTTCTATTTCTTTTCTTTCTTTATTCTCTTTCATCATCTATTCTTTCACCCTTTTCTATTTCTTTTCTTTCTTTATTCTTCATGCCAAATTCTTTTTCATCATCTATTCTTTCATCCTCTCTATTTCTTTCTTTCTTTATTCTCTTTCATCATCTATTCTTTCACCCTTTCTATTTCTTTCTTTCTTTATTCTCTTTCATCATCTATTCTTTCACCCTTTCTATTTCTTTCTTTCTTTATTCTCTTTCATCATCTATTCTTTCATCCTCTCTATTTCTTTCTTTCTTTATTCTCTTTCATCATCTATTCTTTCATCCTCTCTATTTCTTTCTTTCTTTATTCTCTTTCATCATCTATTCTTTCACCCTTTCTATTTCTTTCTTTCTTTATTCTCTTTCATCATCTATTTATTCATCCTCTCTATTTCTTTCTTTCTTTATTCTCTTTCATCATCTATTCTTTCATCCTCTCTATTTCTTTCTTTCTTTATTCTCTTTCATCATCTATTCTTTCACCCTTTCTATTTCTTTCATTCTTTATTCTCTTTCATCATCTATTTATTCATCCTCTCTATTTCTTTCTTTTCTTTATTCTCTTTTCATCATCTATTCTTTCATCCTCTCTATTTCTTTCTTTCTTTATTCTCTTTCATCATCTATTCTTTCACCCTTTCTATTTCTTTCATTCTTTATTCTCTTTCATTATCTATTCTTTCACCCTTTCTATTTCTTTCTTTCTTTATTCTCTTTCATTATCTATTCTTTCACCCTTTCTATTTCTTTCTTTCTTTATTCTCTTTCATCATCTATTCTTTCACCCTTTCTATTTCTTTCTTTCTTTATTCTCTTTCATCATCTATTCTTTCATCCTCTCTATTTCTTTCTTTCTTTATTCTCTTTCATCATCTATTCTTTCATCCTCTCTATTTCTTTCTTTCTTTATTCTCTTTCATCATCTATTCTTTCACCCTTTCTATTTCTTTCTTTCTTTATTCTCTTTCATCATCTATTTATTCATCCTCTCTATTTCTTTCTTTCTTTATTCTCTTTCATCATCTATTCTTTCATCCTCTCTATTTCTTTCTTTCTTTATTCTCTTTCATCATCTATTCTTTCACCCTCTCTATTTCTTTCTTTCTTTCTTCCCTTGCTTCATCTATTTTTCATTTTCTTTTATATAATTTTTTTTTATTTTTCTCTTTCTTCCTCTTCGATTTGTTTTCATTTCATCTTACTTTTTCATATCCCCCCCTCCTTTCATGTGCCGTGTCTCTTCAAGTCGTTGGCGATCATCTTCCTATTCATTGTAGCTCTTAGTAAATTGTGTCTTTTTGTTTTTTCTCACAAACCCTGCTCTACCATCCATTTACTGAAGCTCATCAAGTATGTTACGCGCTGCTTTCTTCCGCCCCTCAGTCTCTCAATCTGCCCTGTGAGTATCAGATTTTCCTAGCCCTCCTTCCTCATTACATGCCCCAGGAATGTCAACTGCCACTTCCTGATGTTAAGTATAAGTTTCCTTTTTGTTTTCATTTTCTCTAAAATCTCAACATTGCTCACATGTTCGGACCATGGTATCCTCAGTATCTTTCTGTAGAACCACATTTTTGTTGCTTCAAGTCCCTTGTTCCTGTTTGCGGAAATTGTCCAGCATTCACTGCCATATCAGAGGACAGACATCATGTAACAGTTCAGTACTCTTTTCTTTGTTTCTAACTAAATTTTTCTGTCTCTTAATACTCTGCTTAGCTTTTGGAAAGCATCTTTGGCCATCCCAATGCGTCTTCGGATCTCAATGACTCCCTTTCCGTCCTCTGTTAGAACACTTCTTAGATATTTTTGTATTTGTTTGATTTTAGTATCTCCTATTTGTAATTTGCATTTTGGTCTCCTTCTTTTGCCGATAACCATGCATTCTGTCTACTAAACTTAAAACTATACGAGGCAAAATGTCATGAAATATCAAGGGAGAAGATCGTACTGCGCCAAGGATCAATCAAAATTGTGAATTTCCCATGATCTCTAACAGTCTAATTGCTTTCAGTGTAGGTTACCTGGGTATAGCATGTATCAAATTGTTTAAAATGTAGAGGTGACGAGCGTGCTGCGTCAGTCTTTCAAGTGGGGAAAACGAAAGACGACCACTGGCACCAGTGAAATATACTCTCGTGTACCAAATGCAAATGCCGGTACGTTTAAATTATCCCACCCCTGGCACGATGTCATTTGGCAGGGTTCGCTGATGACTTTTTTTTTCCCAGCGACACTATTATTTTATTCCAAGAATTAAAATAAATAAAACAAAATAAATTAGAATAAAATAAAATAAAATAAAATAAAAATAAAAAACGCGCTAATAAATTGCTACCGGCATTACTAATCTAGACGGCACGTGTATTTTGGTACAAAAATATGCATCTGATGGAGGCACAAAAGAGTCAACAAATATTTACAAAGTTTAGTTTATTCTAACAAGGAGGCTTCAATAGTGGCTTACCAGGTAAAGATCGAACCCGGAATTCTAGCGTCAAAATTCAAATCATTACATTTTAACGTTTACTTCTTTTTTTCTTCACTTAACTCTTCGCTTCTTGGTCCGGCTTGTTTTGCAGCCACATCACGTTGGAACACCGGTTCCCGTACGATCACCGAAGTTAAGCAATGTCAAGCCTAGTCAGTACCTAGATGGGTGACCACTTTGGAATATCAGGATTTTGGAAGTGGAAATGGTGTAATAGACAAAGATTTGGAATTGTTAATTGGAGAGCCGAGTTCCAATTGCTATTGGGTTTGTCATATTGACTTAGTCGTAAATATCCTTGGTAATGTTATTAATCCATCTCTTCTACCCCAAGCTATGGGTTAATTTTTAAGTATTGTATCACTAAACTATTATGATCTAAAAAAAATTCCTGCAATCTAAAAATATTTTCTAGCTTTTCATAACCTGCAAAGCGTTGATCGTAAAAATCGAACTGAATTTTCGCTCGCTTTTTTTTTTTTTTATATTTTTTCGTCATTTTAGGTTTTTGTTTTGGCTAGGTTTTTTTTTCCTATAGGATTGGCTGAATTTTTTCTGTTTGTGTTCCTTTCTTTTATTTCAATGTTTTGCTTCTTTTCTGCAATTAAATTCCACGTTCTTCTTTCTTATTTTAAGCTTCTTCTTTCTATTCTTTTTCTTCTCTTTCTCAGTCTTCTTCCTTTTCTCTTTTTACTGTCTTTTTCTTCTTCTTCTTCTTCTTCTTCTTCTTCTTTCTCTTCATTTCTACTTCTCTTACTTCGTCTTCTTCTTCTCCTTGTTGTTGTTGTTGTTATTGTTGTTGTTGTTACTGTTCTTCTTCTTCATCTTCTCCTTTTTCTTCTTCTTTTTCTCCGTCTTCTTCTCTTTCTCCGTCTTCTTCCCTTTCTTCTTCTTCTTCTTCGTCTTCTTCTTCTCTTTCTCCGTTTTCTTCTTCTTCTTCTTTTTCTCTTTCTCGATCCTCTTCTTTTTCTTCTTCCCTTTCTTCTTTTTCTTCGTCCCTTTCTTCTTTTTCTTCTTCCCTTTCTGCGTTTTCTTCTTATTCTTCTTCTTCTTCTTCTTCTCTTTCTCGATCCTCTTCTTTTTCTTCTTCCCTTTCTTCTTTTTCTTCGTCCCTTTCTTCTTTTTCTTCTTCCCTTTCTGCGTTTTCTTCTTCTTCTTCTTCTTCTTCTTCTTCTTCTTCTTCTTCTTCTTCTCTATGTTCTTCTTCTTCTTCTAGTTTTTCTTTCATTTCTTCTCTCTCCTTTTTGCTGTTCTTTTTACTTCTTTTATCCACGTATCTTCTAAAAGGTTTTGCTTCTTCATTTTACATTTTCTTTTCACATTCTTGCTTTGTGTTTTTCCTTTTACCTTTCTTCTACTTTTTCCTTATTTTTTTTTCGCCTTTTCTCATCAACACCTTAACGTTTTTCATTTCACATCTTCCTTCTTTTACTAAATTTTCATTTTTCTTTTCTTTTCTTTTCACTTTATTCTTTCTTGTTTTCTCTTCCTCTTTCTTACATTTCTTCTTAACAGCTTCGTTTCTTTCTTTTCCTTCGTTTTCTTTCTTCTCTTTCTTCGAATTCTTCTCTTTTACTTGTTTCTTTCCTTTTCATTTTATTCTGCTTCTTTTTCCCCATCTGTTCTGCTTATTCGTCTCTCCTTCCTCTTCTTTCACATTCTTCCCCTCCTCCAAACCCAAATTTAATTCCTTCTGAAATCTCAACTTGCAATAATCTCTCCATCGTTTAAGTAATCGACCTTTGCATCCATTTTTATTTTCGATTCGCCAAATCAAATGCATGTAACCAATGATAAGACGAGATGTATTGGAAGCTGGCCACGCCCCCTGAATCTTGACTATGAACAAGCCTATCATAATGCATTCGATTCTTACAAGCTACTCGACTTCTATGGATTGTGACAGACTTATTTAATCTTACAAACGTCCTGCATAAGAGGAATGCTTTTTTTTAATCATTTCACAATCAAGCAAGATTGGAATGCCACTAGCATTCAGCTGGTTACAGAGAATGAAAGTGAGACAAAAAGACAGAGTATAGAGAAAGAACAAAAGATGAGCAGGATTCAAGAAGACAGAAAATGGCGATTGCATTTAAATTTTTGAAGATTTTAGTTATCAGGGAAGCAAGTAAACAAGAGGAAGTTCCACAGGCGAGAAGTGAGAGAAAAGAAACTGCTGGAGTAGAAGTGGTGGTCGCATTTAGTTATTTCAACAGTAAATGAGTGGGACCTAGATGCCAATCTAATAACACGCTTTATTCATGTAGGAAAAAAAAACCTCGTCAGAGCATTCGCCATTAAAACATTTATAGAAAAGACAGAAGGAAGCCACATCACGTTGGTGAAAAAGTGACTGAAGTCGAGATCCCAAGTGAGGATCGATTACATTACATACTTGTGATTTTGTGCTTACCAAACTAGTCGTTCGGACGAGTTATTACATTTGTTCTTACTGGGCGCTACGCACGCATGGCCTTGTGCAAGACTTGGCTAAAATTTCCAGTTGTATGTGTGTCTTTCGGAAATTAATTTTGCAGGCCAGTGTTAGCGTAGTTATTTCGTTCTTAACTGGAGATCAGCTACTTTTACGCTGGAGAAGATGTTTTTTTAATCATTTCACCTCATGCAAGGCAATAAAGCCACTAAGATGCAAGGGAGTTACGGAGTATAAAAGAATATAAGCAAAAGAAAACATTATTAAGAAGATAGAACAATAAAAGAAGAGAAATTACGAAGATATAAGATAACGATCGACATTGCATTTAAATTTTTGAAGATCAAAGTTGACTTGGAAGCGAGAAGCCGGAAGGGTGTTGCACAAGCGAGAAGTGCGAGAGAAGAAACTATTAGCATAGAACTTACGTTTACATCTAGCCATTTGAGCTGTTAAACGATGAGACCGAGCCGCCAATCTAGTACCGCACTTAAATTTCGTAAAGTTAAGCTATCAAAGAAGAAAGCTCATCAGAACATGAAATTATTTATCATAAAAGTACAAAGAAGCTATGTTACAGCGGTGAGAAACGGAAAAGCTGAGATGCCATGTCAGCGCCAATAAGATTGCAGATTCTTCTTTGGATTTCACCAAGAATCTCTAAATACATAGCAGAAACACGAGACCAGATGCGACAGTAATATTCAATGGACGAATGGTAGACCTATATATATGTAAGAACGATTCTGGCAAGAAAGATTGTTTGGCACGACAGAGGGACCCAACATTCCAAAGAGCGACCCTAGAAATTGATCTTATATAATCTTTCCTCTTCGTGTCAACGGAAAAATTTAACCCGAAAAGGCGCAATGTATCACTCTCTTAGAGGTTAACATCAGCCATACTGATGGAAGGAAAGAAAGGTTCTCTCAGATTATTAAAAGATACAGCCGAATTGTGGAAAGTATTCCTCTACCATCCCCTTGGTAGACTCTCTCGTCGTATTCGACGTATGAGGGTCAAACAGCTCAGTTCCTAGGAATCGACAGCCCATACACCAGCACATATGATTTGATTATAGTGGTAAAGGTTTTGTGCAGAACCTACCGCACTTTTTGAAGAGCAGAATACAGAGACCTGGTGCACTACGTGCCACAAGGTCCCCAAACAACCCTCCGCTGTTTCTGAATTCAGAGTTTTCCTTCTTCTAGACCAGATGCCATCCAAAGCTATAGAATCCAGTTTGTCCTGCTATTTTAGCCATAGCTGGAGGGAGAAAAAGATGATTAATATCTTTCCCAATGGTATTAACACGTAAGTGAATGTAATGAATTAAACTCGGCTCTCCGATTACTTAAATCCGAGCTGATATCCTCTACTCTGCCGTGCCTCCCTTATTCATCTTCTATTCAGTATATATACGAACAAGTACAAGTTCTTAGATTAGTGTTTTGGTTTTCTAGTATCTTACGGTGTTGTATAAAACTGCCTTCAGTGTAGCCTATTCTATTTTCAATAACCTTATGGACAACACTAAAAGTGTTATAAGTGATCAATACACCGAGGAATTTCAAGTGTTTAGTTTTTATTAATTTCACGCCCTGAATGTTCCTGATGGATTCAGGGTAAGAGTCATTATTGTTTTCATTCTAATTCCAGATCATATTTTCCATTTTCGAAAGGTTTACCTTTTTTTATCTATTATGGCAATTTACCCACGGATGCATGGTCTCTCCCGGCTATAAATAGGAACAGGTACTGCCTTTTAGAGTGGGATGTTTCCAGCAGTCAACTGTGACAGTGGGACCGAACATTCTTGCTGTAACACTCTCGTTTGTATATGCTTGTATTACTGTTTCTGTTAATATATTTGTTTTAACTCAATTCCTATCTTTGTGTCTTTATTTCTGGTCCTAACAAGGTCACTACATTATTCTAATTCTTGGAGCACTGGATAATTTTTTTTTTCTTCAAGGACAAAACTATGAATACTTATCTCATCAGCATCCCTACCATCATCATCAGTATTCTGGCCTGAGAAGAGGAAACATGAAATCTGTTCATGTTATAGTTACGGTAAAGTTGGTGCTGATGAAAAGAGAAGCCTTAACTTAGCGTAAATCTATCTAAATTTGTATCCCTTCAGTATGTGGGTGATCATAGCTCTCCACATGTTTGTAGCTCTTAAGAATATTTGTCCTTTTAATATCTTCTGGCATCTATTTAGACAAGCTTGTTAGCGAGGTTACTCGCTGCCTTCAGTCTTCAACATGTCCTGTAAATGTCAAATTCTTCAAAGCACCTTTCTTCATTATGTGGCTAACGTACAAGTTGGATTTATAATAGATTAAACAATGCACTCTAATCAGTCTAAGAGAAAACAAAAAAGTAAGTTCAAAACGGGAGAATGTAATATGCCTTTTCTCTAAATATTTCCACGGTTGTTCTCATTAACTTTCCTCTATGGTACCTAGACTTTAAGAATTTAAGCGCAGTACTAGATTGGCGGCAAGGTCTCATTAATTTAAAAATAAAATGGCTACAAATAACCGTAAGTTCTATTCTAACAGTTTCTTCTGTCGCATTTCTCGCTTGTGGAACTCTCTCCCAGGTTCTTGCTTTGCAGTCGATTTTGATCTTCAAAGATTTAAATGAAATGTTAATCGTTATCTTCTGTCTTCTTAATTCCTGTCCTTTTATTACCCTCTCTCCTTAACAGTAGTTTTTCTCATATTCTCTAACACTCAGTAACCC